TCTGAAAGTCTGTAAAATATATTGCTAAAAATTAAATTGGAGAGGGGGTATTTGTTGTTAAATTATTATTATTATGCCCCAAGGTATATAATATGTATAGTGTTGTTAATACTGATTACAGTAATGGTGCAAATGTTTATAAAAAATTATCAATTTATTATATATTGTAAATCTCATGAATTAAATACCTTTTTTCATAATACATATACAAATTATGAATGAAAAACGTCTCTTTGGTAGCTTGTTTATTTATTATATTGAATTTTTTAATCCGAAATAATCTTCTTGCTTAAGATTATTGCCGCATATCGTATTAAGATTATCCCCTGATTTAGTATCATTCCCCTCATTGATAATCAATTCCTTCTAAAGTTCTTCAAGTGTGTCTCACTCAAAACACCACTCTGTAAAAACTGATCTTTAGTGTATGACTTCCCCGTAAGAATTTGCGAATACCTTCAAATTTCAGTCCTCCAGAAGATTTTCACTTTCGCATATTCGTTGGAAACATTTATGGCTCTTCTTCGTCTCATTAAACTGTAGACAAATCTTCTTCAATTCGGTGAGCGAAGTCTTGCTATAAATTCAGTGTAAGAATTCATAGTCAATATCTTTCTTTCCACTTACAACATACAAAACTTTGTTGAAAGTTACTACGTTGTAAAATAAAATAAAAGCAGTCTTCAGTTTTCGCATAAACTCGCGTTTCCACATTTTTGAAGACGTACTCTTGGGATGTTGGACAGTTTCTTAATTCATTGCTAAGTGGTACAGACTATTATTTTTCTCGGTGCGGGAAGCGTGAAACACTAACTGTGCCCCCGCAGTGATTCGAAACACGGATCTTTCCGTTACAATTTGGATACGTTAACCATTTATAGTACGAGCGTACGGATGAGGGAAATGAGATAATTCCTTACAAAGTTACATGAAAAAAAACCTGTATCGTTATGATATACAGGAAACATCATTTTGTTAGAAGAAAAATTCATCGGAAGCACAACCTACATTCATTAAATTCCAAAAAGGTTTTGGGGTCCAATTTCTGAATTTTTGATAATTTTCCAAAATCACCAAACAGCGTAAACAAGGTAATACACTTCCGAAAGAAATAAGGTCATTACATATGCAATTACAGATGCAATACAAAGTTAATTTTTTAATTAGGAGCTCTAAATTTTTCCGACTTTCGTGATTATTTTCTCCTTTGAAAATATGGACTTGTGGCTGTGTCATCTAAGACGACAGAACTTTTCAAACTGTATATAAAGACGTCTCGGTGGGTCGATATTCTCTTGTTTGAGGATGCACGAAACTTTTGTAAACGCTTATAATGTATCACATAATACTATTAAATACTGCATAAATTAATTTGCTGAAGGCAAAATAAAGAAATTTGTATTGTTGAAAGTTGCTCAGCGATTCGCAGAAGACCTTTAAACACAAAAGGGTCTGGCAGGCTAAAAACTGTTGAGATTCCTCCCTCTTATGAATTAAACTGAAACAATTCTAGCCTCAGTATACTGCAAAAAAGAAAAGGTAATTAATTTGTGAGAGAAAAAAACCTGACTGAGTAATATTATGACTGACTGAGTAATGTAAACCTGACTGAGTAAAAAATAGACTGAGTAATGTAAACCTGACTGAGTAAAAAATGGACTGAGTAATGTAAAAAATAATATTACCTGACTGTGTAAAAACTGGACTGAGTAATGTAAACCTGACTGAGTAAAAAATAGACTGAGTAATGTAAACCTGACTGAGTAAAAAATAGACTGAGTAATGTTTTTGCCTAAGCAGATGAATGATGTTACACATATAAAAATCCATGAGAATCCTGCTAGGCCGTTAACTGTTCCAAACCCGTAAAGCTGGGAATGTGCGTACTGAAATTCAATGAATTTGCGTATATTTCTGACTGGGCAGAGATTAAATTGTGTGCATAGAAAGATTTTTAATTTATGCAAGAAACACCAGTAAATCTCATTTAAAAAGTGAGTCTAGGAGGAATAAACTTTATAAAAGCAGAACTAAGCAAAGAAACAAATCCAATGGCTCAGACGAAACTCATTTAAAATACTTTCTCCAATGTAATTAAAATTGATCTCATTGTGAGCTTTCCTTTTTTTTTTTTTTTTTTTTTTTTTTTCCGCGGGGAAGGAAATCACTAATTAAACACAGATATCAGTACAAAATTTGCAACATTACCCTTGGGGTACAAGAAGACAGCAAAAAGGTCACAGATTGTTAAAATTAACAACCTACTTTCTCAAGGATCGCGTTATTGAAGTGATGGGGTCGATGAAGTGTCATTTAAAACAGCAATTTCATGTTTTCATGCAAGTCAATGTTTGAGAGAATATCACTATTCTAAGCTTCATTTCATATTATCATAATAAAGAGCATGTGTGTCATAAATTAATACAATAATATACAATTACGATTAAAGGCAAAACTGTAAAATTAATAACGGGGTTCACAGAGAAATCCCAAACAATAAAAGTGTAGGCTATGCTTCTGTTTTAGAGCCAAGAGGTCAGCATAAAAAATGAAAAAAATTAGTCATAAAACGAGAAATTAATTACATGTCATAAAATGGATAAGTAATCATGAGTCATAAAAGAGAAAGAAAGACTTACACAGCAAGTTATAAAGTTAATAAATAATTTACAGTAAAGCGAATAGCAACTTCTACACAACTAATATATATATATTCGTACTGTATTTATATACATACACATATATATTAGCGCCAGTCATAGGCTTATTAATTTACCCATAATTACTTTTATTTAGAATGTATATCTCAAAATAGTCCAAAAAGAATTTAAAAAAATGATTTTTTAATAAAGCAGAGACGAATTTGTGCATATGCTGCTAGGCCAAAAATAATAAAAATTAAAAAGGAACTAAAATGAAAAACTATTTTTTCTTCTTTATGAACTCCCTAACCAATTTCTCCTCCAGGAAAGGAATTGCCAAAAGGAGTACATTAAAATTAAAAGAAACTTCAATTATGTAAACTAAACTGAAAATAATACAAAATAAAAAAAAAAATAATAAAATTGACTCATATATATATTAAGGTGGCCGGCGAAAACATTGCGGATGAAAACGTCACGGAGAAAACAACGCAAGGCGAAAACGTCGTGGTACAAAACGTGGGAGAAAAGAAAGCAAAGAGAAAATATACATAAAAAATATGTCAACAAAAAAAAATTTAAAAAAAGACTAAATACCAAAAAACAATTAATACGAAAACTGTATTTACATCAAGCGCCATCCACTACAAGTTTAAAAAAATGTATTTATAAAAATGTATTTGAACTTGAGTGGATGAATAAAGAGTATTTTATTAACGATTGAAAATTTGAACAAGATATAGGGAGAGTGTGAGTTAATAATAGGAGTTTAAAAAAAAAGGCTTAGTGGACATTTTAACTTCATGCATTTCATTTTACGTGTAAGTTGAGCCAAAAGGCGCCTTTAATGGAATGGAATGGAATTTGCATCGCAATGAATTTTAAAATAAAGAATCTGAAGTTAATCAGTCATTCATTTCTAAATTTTCAGTTTATTGGCCTTCTGGGAGGTCTGTCTTCGTTACAAAAAAAGGCTGAAAATACCTTGAACTCTATTTGATCAATTACCTATGTTTAAATGTTCAGTGAATGGAAAGGAAACATGTTTTGTTCATCACATGCTTAAAGTCTGAAACTGATCTTTAAAATAATTAACTGCCACCTACTCCTGCTTATTTTGAAACTTTTGTCAGCATCATGTCACGTGATAAACACCGACAACTGACTCATTATAAGAACGGAAGGAAAAGAAAGTCTGCCCTAAAGCCTTATTTTTTACTTTTCTGAGAAGCGAATTGAATCCCACATTTTAAAGTTTATCTCTTCAAGATTAATACTCCTACTTGCTTTAATTTTCTTCTGCAGTTTTAAAGTTTTGTTAAAATTCATCGCATGAAGTTTTGAAATGATCTTAAAAGAGTGTTTTTAAAAATGCAAAGAAACTAATGTCTCAGCAATGAATTTCATATAAAACTCGCTATGATGTTAAGGTTATATAGCTTTACAGCTTTCGTTATTTACTACAACTCTCTGCAATTACTATCTCTGCAAAAGTGTAACAGGGAGAACTGCATTACCCTTTAGGTTTGAAAAAAATGACATTTTTAAGCTATTCTTTAGAATGAGCTTTTATTCCTATGCAGAAAAGCATTCCATTCTTGAGAACCAGTAACAAACCGCTTTTTATATGCTAAAAATTCAGCGGAAAATTGTCGAAATTTTTTTAATACCACAGATTCCTTTAATATTGGAAAAAGCGGCCTGCACGCTAGAAATCGGTGTTAAAATTTACATATCATGCCAACACCAGTTCATAATATAATTCTTATTTTTATTTCGTTTTTAGTGCAGACTTTGTACTTAATATGCGAACATATTTTATTTCTACACATAAGTGTTTTCTTAGCATCTTACATCTTAGCACATTTTGTTGAATTTTACGCGAAGAAACATTCCTATTTTTTAAATAAATTTATAGTTACAGTTTCATTTACAATTCTACTTTTAGGTAAAACTGCATCAATTTAGGCACTTACTGTGTTTTTATGCATTTTCGTTGAAATTCTACAGCCGAAATTCATAATGAGCAAATAACTTTTCAAGCACTATGCCCCATATTTTACGTATGCATCAAAAGCTTACAAAAGGTTTATCAAATTAGGGAAAACAGTAAGCTTTCAAAGCTTTAATGATGGCATAAAATTTTAGCACTGTAAGCTCAAATTTATAGAACCAATCATTTAGATTTTAAACGAAGTCACCATGAAGTATATCTATCTTTTAATGAGAATTTATGATTCTTTCGATAAAATTCCTAAAATTTAATTGAACCCTGATGGCAAAATAACTTATTTGACAGAGCTGGAATCAATTTCGCAAATATTTTGTAAAACATTTGTGATTAGAGATGATACTTACGTCCAAAAGTCGGGTAGGGCTCCATATTTATCCACAATAGCTTTATCCATTTTCTCCAGGGGCAGTTTGTAATATTCACATAGAAGTCCCATAGCAGAGTTCTGTTCCTCGGATCCTGAACCTCCGATATTCAACATGGCAGTTGTGGCAGCGGTTAAAGGGTGGTCATAGAACGCTCTCCAACTCTCTTCGCCATCGAGCATATCAAGGACTCGATCTGAGTCTGAAGGGGCGCTTGACGCAAGTTCTTCAACAATTTCTTTATTCTTCCTGAAATAAAAAAAAAAAAAAGCTTTCTCTAAATAATACATTTAAATGAGATATTAAAATACATAAATATTGCTACGAAATGTACAGGCGCGGTGAGATAGCTTCCCCGCAAAGCAGTTTTAGGGTTGCCATAAAAATGGCAAGGAAAGGCAGGGTTGCCACATTTGGCGAGAAATCGCCCATTTGGCGGCAAAATTGGCGATATACTATGGACGAATGGAGAACTTTCTGGAACGTATTCTTACCGGTTTAGCCCAGAATGTTCTCTAACACAAGCAGAAAGCTATATAAACCCTGCTGGTCCGCAGTCAGTCAGTGTGTGTGCCTCGTCTAGCGAGCTGATAGTCAGTCATTGAGCGAGTGTCTCGAAGTCTAGCGCCGAGTTGGTCATCGAGTGCATCGAGAGAGTCTTTTAGTGCATCGCGAATTAGTCCATCGCCGAGTTTTGTCTTAGACTGTGCTGAGTCGAGAGCTATACTCTTGTGTATCGTCGAGTGCATCGCGAGTTGTAGCGTGGAGAGTCTCGAGAGTACGTGGAGTTCCGAGAACGACCGAGCAGAGTTGAGAGCTGTACTCCTGAATTCAGAGTCGGTTGCTTTGCAGGAAGCTGTCTCCACCGTGATAGCCTGACAGTGTGAAGGCTGTGTCGCTGATCGTGTCAACGTGTTTACAGTAGATTTTCGACGACTGTAAAACGTGACTTTAAAGCTGTCCTGATCAGTATTGGTAAATAAAGTGTGTTTCGATACTTCATCGAGTGTCGTCATTATTCACTCCAAATCAACACGAACCCGTATCTTAACGTGAAGAGGAAGAGAAATAATGCAACAGCTGGTGTCAGAAGAAGAGAAAAACGTAACAATATGTTTGAAATCCAATGCTGTTGCATCACTAAGTCAGCTGCAAGAAGCAAAAATGAGGTGGGCAAAACTTTCACTTGTTTGCATACAGCATAATTAAATTTAAGTTAGTAGTATTAATTATTTACTGAGGTTTGTGTTCACAGCATATCTTTTCTTGTTTTAATCATGAAAAGTGACTAAGACCTCAACGTCTTAATCCGCTGTAAAATAATAATGAGAAGCTATATTTTGAGATCAGAAAGCTTTCAAGCTCTAAAACAATTCCTAACTTTACCGATTCTTCATCGCACTTTTTCAAATTTTGTCTTTTTGAAGCAAGTTGTAACTTAGAATTATTTGAAAGAGAAGTTTTATCAGCAGTGCTTGGTTACAACTTGGACGTACTTGACTTGAACTTAGGGCCTGTTCCTAAAATAATTTTATAATTACCCATAATGTTCTTAAAAACAAAGAAAGGAGACGCTGAAGTTTATGAAACAACGCTGTGCCTAGGATCCTTAGCTATTTTAATAAGGCCCGAATCAGGGAGACTGTTTTCAATCCCAAGCATCTGATATTCGTTATTTAGCTCTATAAATGTATATTTCCCATCCCTCTCAGTTGTACAATTAATTTTTTTCTACTTAATTGTTAATTATAAAAATTATAAGTGCACTAAATAGTATAATCTAGAATATAAAATGCAATTATTAATTATGATAATATGCAAAACAATATCGAAATGTTAATATATTATAAAGTTTATATTTCAATTGCAGGAGATCGAGAGGGGAAACTAATTAGTTTGACAGTAAAAGCTCTTAAAATACAGAGATTTCCAAAGTGTGAGTGGCCAGACAAGTGTGGTTGCAGCAGCTTTCGAATAATTGTTTTATTATATAGTTAAGAATATTGGTTTTTATTATTAATTAATTTAAAAACATTAGATGATTTTAATAATTACGTGTATTTTATCGTTACTATTTAGTTATAATAGTGTTTTCTTGTAAGACTTTCTTTTCGCTCTTACATCTTTTTCGAAACGATTATGTAAGTGGGTCGTAATGCTAAAAGTCTGGGTAGCATTGCTCCAATAGATAATTGAAAAACAGAGAGAAATGTTTCACTACGATTTGGTTTGCCTCTAATAACAATGAGGTTTACATTTTCATGCCATTGGGTGGATATACATTCTGGTTATTTTCAAAAGTGCGAGTGAGATTTATCTGATTTCCTCACCTAGAACAACTTAGTCATTGAAATTAAGATAACGCGTGTGTCTTTTATACCGACGACTCAATTCACTAACTTACTTTTATTTTATTTATTTATTCAATTATTTGTTAGAACTCCAGCTTTGGTTTGAAAATGGCTTTTCGATCTTTTGAGATGAAATTATAGAAGCTTTTGTACTATTAATATCTATGGGGGATTTAGACTTTGGCTTAAGAGTTTGTTACTGGAACATTTTTATTTTTTTCTCACCTCTTAAAAGTCCTTTTGATTTCAACTTGAAAAGGAACTGAGACTGAATTAAACTTTTAAGCGTTTACAAATTAATTACTCCTAAATCTGAACATAATCATTGTTAAATACTTAATATAATGTAAGTAAACTTTTTAACTAGCCGGGCTGCTATTAGCGATTTCATGCTATAAAATAAGACTGAGAAAGCTGCCATTTAAGATTTTTTTCGTATTTCTTATGTTCGTATTATATACTACATGACTTGTTTATAGTGTCTGTTTTATAGTTTACATCTTTAATATTATCGTCATTTCTAATCTAGTGGTATCCTCATGTATATAACCTGGGATCTTAGGTACTACACCTGAATTTAGAAATTATAAGTATTTTATATTCTTTTTTTACTGAAAAAGCTTGCAGAGAAGTTACAGATGCTAGTTCGTATAAATAAGACGAAACGTTAGGGCCGACTCTAGAGTTGGTGCAATCGATGCGGCCGCATAGGGCAGCCGAATTTAGGGGTGGCAAAATTTTTAGAATTTAGAGAAGCATCGATTAGCAAAATTTAGCGATGGGAAAATTTTTAGAGTTTAGGTACTGTGGTTAGAGTTTAGGTATTAGTGGACAGGAGGCACCGGGCAGCAAATTTATGACTAGCACACCTTGCACCGAGCTGCAGAATGCTTAACAGCAGCCTTGTGAGATGCGACGTGGGGGAAAATCGGGATAGTTTTACAAGGATACTTTTAAAGATTAAAATGTATGAATAATTCCACTGACAACAATATATAATAAAATATGCTACTTGAAATTACGACATTACAATTTTCTCTTAAATATTTATATGATTTTACTCTAATTTACGAATTAAGTTTCATCATTCAGTTTCCCAAACCGCGGTTTCAAGGGAAACTAATTTCTAAGAACACAAAAATGTTATATAATTTTACAGAAATAACTGATTTAACGGAATGCATGTTTACGAAAACATCAGGTGACATTCCAGAAAAATTCAAACAAAAATTATGATCTAATTTTCCACTTTGGGACATTAAAAGAAACTTCCTGAAAAGTCTAAATAGACTTGATTTGGACACTTTGGAATCTAGACTTGATTGATTTAAAATCGTTCCTTTAACATTTTTTAAATATGCAGTATTTATTCATTTATATTTCGTAACTTCTTAGTCCCCTTCTACTGACAATAAGTATTCGTTAAAAATTAATGAAGCTGCTATAATTCTCAATTTTAACTAAAAATGGTGCTTCTTCTTTCTTATGTAGTTAAATTTATTAATATAGCCTTCAATGCACAAGAATATTAATGTGATTTGGTGTTTTTATTTTTAGACTTTGTAGCCTTTTTGATAGGAGGCATTGGTATTAAATTTGTTTTAAATGCAAATAAAAAAATAGTATTTGTTACAAATGTAAATTCAATTACGATGACGTACTTTTTGCTTTTAACTTTAGTTTTTGAAACACTATTTTTAACCAACATATATGTATTTATTTATTTCCGAAATGAAGTCATTGATAATTCTTAAAGACGTTCGAATTCACCTTGACCTGCAAAGGAAGGCTGCATTGTCCACGCCTAAAAAATAATTGTATCTTTTTCTGGAGTAGCAAGCAAGCAAAACAGTTTTCCATTAACAGCTTGTGCCTATTACACAAGAATTTTCTCTGAAATATGAAAATAAAAAATATAAAAACATTGTGCGTGACAAAAAAAAATTAAAATTTCTTCAAATTCTCTCAGTTTAAAAGAAACGGCCTGCGACGAATCGATACAAAACATAACCTTCAAAACCTTCTCATGTGTTTCAAATGTCATCAACCTACCTCCACATACCCAGAATCGAACAAAAACCGTAGCAACTATTTCGTGCAGAACTCATTATTTCATTTTCACTGCTTTCACGATTTTTTCAGTGCAAGATTTCAGCACGTCCATTTCACTTTCAAGTCCTTGAGGTAAAACAAACTCAACACTTGTAACCATATTTTCCTTGCAAGAGCAACCAACAGTAACGACTTTCGCATACTTACACCGTGTAACGGTCAGTGAGATCTTCCCCATTGCAGTCTGTTTGTCTTTATCCCGTTTCTTTTATATATAATCCATGTCTCATCTAACACATTTACTGATGTTAGAAATATATTTTTTTTCCGTTTAAAGAGTGTTTTGCTCCCTCTCTTTATCCAGGAGAATGCGGATTAAAACAAAACAAAGTGTGTCATAAACGTGTGAGTACACAAACAAACCAATGATAAAGGTGAACTTAGCAATTGAATATTATTTAGAAATTTCAATAAACCCGCATCAGTTGCATTCCGCTGTCAAACGACTGTGTCAAATATCACAAATATTTAAATTTTAAATGCTTGTAAGAATTTCTTGTGTTAAATAAGGTAAAAACCACTTCGGTTAGAAAATGGGTATCATTATAACACTTCCTGTAAGCCCGCATCTGTTAAAGCAGAGGCTAAGGAAAAAGAATGAAATGCCATATCAGTTACAAAAATACCAATTTAAATGTAAAGAAACAAAATCAGATTTTTTTTCAGTGCATTTAATAACATTTTATCTGCAATATAACCTGAAACGTTTATGTGTAACTTGATAATCATTTTAGAATGTATTATTTAGAAAAGTTTAGAGATTAATGAAGAATTTTAAAGAATTTT